GTGCTGGAGGTGCTGGAGGTACTGCTGGAGGTGCTGGAGGTGCTGCTAGTGCTGGAGGTACTAGTGCTGCTGCTGGTGCTAGAGGTACTAGAGCTGCTAGTCCTGGAGGTGCTGGAGGTGCTACTCGTGCTGGAGGTGCCGGAGCTACTAGTCATGGAGGTGCTACTGGTGCTGGAGGTGCTGGAGCTGCTAGTCCCGGAGGTCCAGCTGGTGCTGGAGGTGCTGGTGCTGCTGGCACTGGAGGTGCTGGTGCTGCTAGCACTGGAGGTGCTGGTGCTGCTGGCACTGGAGGTGCTGGTGCTACTGGTGCTGGAGGTGCTGGAGGTGCTGCCGGTGCTGGAGGCGCTAGAGCTGGAGGTACTGGAGCTGCTAGTCCTGGAGGTGCTCATACTGGTGGTGTTGGAGCTGCCGGAGCTGGTGGTGCTGCTGGTGCTGGAGGTGCTGGAGGTACTGGAGCTGCTGGAGCTGCTGGTCCTGGAGGTGCGCGTACTAGAGGTGCTGGAGCTGTCGGAGCAGATGGTGCTGCTGGTACTGCCCCGCGCCGACCGTTTTTCTACCCGCAGCCGCAGTCGTCCGTGCCGCCGCCTGGCTCGGTCCTTCGCCAGGTTCTTCCACTGGCCTCACTCCACCTCCCCTGTGTCCACCGGCAGACCAGTCTCAGCCACAGCTACTGCCTGGCTCCCCGTTGCCTTCTCTTGCTCCTCACACTGAGGTGACTGAGTCCCTTACTGAGCGTCGGGAGCCTGAGACTCGTGCTTCTACACCTGTTCGTGCTCGTCGTGTCGCCTGTCCTCCTGCTGTCCCAGGCACTCACGGTATGGCACGCCAACCTTCCTCTGTTCCACAGCGTGTTGTCCTGCCTGAGCCTCCCGCGTCCTCTCTTCTGCACGTTCCTAACCTTGAGTCTGACATTGCTCATGCTGCAAGTCCTACTGTCACTCGTCTCCTCGCTACTGTTGTCACTGACCCTGACTTTGAGTCTATTGTTGCGTTTTCCCTAGTCACTGAGCTATTCGACTTTGCAGGTAGGAGTCATCTCAACTACGTCGCGAGTCTTGTTACTGAGTCTAAGTCTGTCTGTCCTTCGTCTGTCGGGGGTGAGCCTGCCATTAGCACTGACGTCCTTGAGGATAGGCAGTTTGAGCTTGAGTGTCTTGCGGCTGCTTTACCTCGTTTCGCATCCATGCTGCTTTGCCATGAGGGAGACCCGGATGCACTTGACATCCCTACCCCGCGCTCTTACGCAGAGGCAATCGTGGGTGAGTACTCCTCTCAGTGGCAGACAGCCATGGACGTAGAGATGGCTTCCTGGAAGTCCACAGGCACCTACGTCGACGAGGTTCCTCCTCCTGGGGCGAACATAGTCGATGGCATGTGGATTTTCAGGGTGAAGCGGTCGCCGGGTTCTCCGCCTGTCTTCAAGGCGCGTTACGTTGCTCGAGGCTTCAGTCAGCGACAGGGGGTCGACTTCTTCCATACCTTCTCCCCCACCCCGAAGATGACTACTCTTCGGGTGTTGCTGCACGTTGCAGCACAGCGTGACTACGAGCTGCACTCCCTCGACTTCTCCACAGCTTTCTTGCAGGGCAGCCTTCATGAGGAGATCTGGCTGCGCCGCCCACCTGGCTTCACTGGGTCATTTTTCTGCGGGTACCCAGTGGAGCCTCCGGCGGCCAGTCTACGGTCTCCGCCAGGCGCCTCGCGAGTGGCACGACACACTGAGGACAACAATTGCGGCTCTTGGGTTTGCTCCTTCGACTGCTGACCCGTCGCTGTTTCTACGCACCGACACTACCCTGCCGCGGTTCCACGAGAACGTGTACGTCGACGACTTGCTTTTTGCTACTTCTGACACGGAGGCGCTGGCCCTAGTGAAGGCGGAGCTGCAAGAGAGAGACACCTGCACTGACCTGGGTGAGTTGCGTAACTATCCTGGCTTGCAGATCACCCGGGACAGAGCACAGCGCACCATCACCCTGACTTAGTCACACATGGTGCACCAGGTCCTTCAACGCTTCGGCTTCCAGTTCTCCTCGCCACAACCCACTCCTATGTCGATCGGCCACTCGCTCTCGGCTCCACCATCGGACGAGTCCGTAGAGCCGAGTGGTTCGTACCCAGAGCTAGTGGGTTGCTTGATGTACCTGATGATGTGCACACGACCTGACCTCGCGTACCCTCTCAGCCTCCTGGCTCGCTACGTTGCTCCCGAGACACCGAAAGGTGCATTGGGATGCTGCGAAGAGGGTATTGCGTTACTTGTGCAGTACATCGGGCATGGGGCTCGTGCTTGGAGGATGGGGTTCAGTGGTACTCACAGGACACTCTGACGCTTCTTCGGCCGATAACCAGGTGACTCAGCGCTCGTCACAGGGTTACACCTTCAGTCTTGGCTCTAGTTCTGTCTCGTGGAGGTCCACTCATTCTTCTTCTGTGCCTGGTTCCAGCAGTGAGGTCGAGATATACGCTGGGGCCATGGCTGCAGAGGAGCTACGCTGGCTGACCAACCTGCTGACCGACTTGGGGGAGTGGCCTCGTTCTCCTCCAGTTCTGTACGTCGACAATAAGGCAATGCTTGCCTTGTGTCGCGAGCAGAGACTGGAGCACAGAACGAAGCACATTGCTTTTTACTACTTCCTTGCACGTGAGCTGCAGCAGCGTCCACAGCTCTGCCTTTCCTACTTGGCCTCGCGGGCCAACACGGCTGATGTGTTCACCAAGGCCCTTAGGTCTGCTGATCATCAGCGTTTCTGCAATGCTCTTGGGCTTATGCCCACTCTTCCTCACCTGCTGGTTGCTTGAATTGCTCTTGTTGTACACTAATATATATCTTTATACCTGCTTGTTTACTCTTGCTAGGTTGTGATCAGTGTACTGCCTTGGTATTATAACTCTGCATGTGAACTGGCCTTGTGGCCGATTGCTTGTGCTCAGATTGTGTGGTGTCCTTGAGATCCACCCTGAACTTTGCTTTGCTTGTTCTCTTGCTTGACTGGTCTTGTGACCGTCTGTTGTGTTTTCTCTCTCCCACTTAGCCTATGGGGGTGTGTCAAACTATATGTTTGTGTTCTCTCTAGGCTAAAGTGGGTTAGCCTACAAGGGTTACAACACTTTAGGGTTAGTACTTGTACCCAACTCATTCATAGTTCATTCATCCCTGCACAGTTGAATCTGACAGAGAAATGAGGAGCAGGAGGGATGAGGGGCAGGAGAGAAGAAGTAGAGGAGAAACGGGAAAGGAGGGGTTATGGCGCATGGATGCGAACGCTTGTGACTGACAGGAGAGCATACATGCGCGTTGATGTGAACTGACGGCCGTTGCTGGTGCCAAGCAACCATCTGAAACCAACGGAGAAGCGTTAGAACCAACGAGACAGAAAATGAAGCTTTCGAGCGGGACTCACCCACGCGTGTGCCCAGACCCCCAGTGCCATTGCGCCGACCGCTGCCGCCGCCGCCTCCACCACCGTGTCCCCCTTCGAAGCCGCGTCCTCCGCCATCCCCGCGGCGGCGGCCGCCACCGCCGCCGCCGCCATGAGCGGTTGGAGACGAGGGGGAACATCGTTAGAGGCATAAGAAACACCGATATTGGATGCTCCCGTGTAGGTTAGTGGTGGAAGGATCACAAGGATGCCGTGGTTCGCGAGCATGTCCTTAAAACGGATATCGAGGCGGTGCTTACAGGCGACGACGAGGAGGACCAGCAGCGACGCGGCGTGAAGGTGGCGAAGAGCCGCCATCGTCGTTATCGTTGGACGGATGAGATGCAGAGTTGCGATGACAAAGAAGCTAATGTAAGTCGTCTTCGGTCGAGAACAGTACGCGCGATTGTTGAACTTGAAGGTGAGTCAGACGTTGAGAAGGCTAGGGATGTGACGTGGAAACTGTTGCTTGCTTAGAGAGGAATGAGGTGGATTTATAGGCCTACTATCCTGTCGACCTAGCAGTATGGTACTGTAGCTGCTTTGCTTGATAGTAATATGACGCAGTCGAGCGTGGAGGTGTGCGAAGACTGGTCAGCGGAAACCACGGCGGTGCAAGGAAGGCACGCCGCAGCTTCCATGGGAGGTATCAGTGGAGCGATCAGAGTGGTAGGTAGAAGTGCTGCAGTACGGCGCACCAACGGGCGGGAACGAAACAAATGCGAGTAAAAACACGCGCGAGAGCCTTTGGATGATCCTCACGGCGACAGCACGCGACGTCTTCTCTCCATGCGATGAGTCGTGGAGACGAGGCTGCGAGCAGTGCTCGTCTCGTAGCACGGTTCCCGCGATCAAAATGGGGGCAGTCAAAATTGGGGATGGTCAGTGCGAACAGGCAAAATGCGGCTGTGCAAAATTAGGTTCCTACGAGCATGCGACCTACTCCCTCAGGCCCCTCTCCCTGTGCTTGGCCTTCCAGGCGATGACTGGAGGAGTAGAATCGCTGATATCGCCAGGTTCATCGTAAAGCTCCCCCCTACAGAGTTTTCCTCTGCGGACCAGATTATTCAAAGCAAACCTTAACACACCAGGTAAGTTTGCAGCACAATACTCTTGCATGATCCCCAGAAATCCACCACAACATGAAGCAATGATGGACACCTGCCAGTGTACATGCATTCATGCACTGATCAAAGTGAGTCAAGATAGGTCATATGGATCATATCAAATCACATGTATATTCTGTACACAGTGCTTCAAAGCAAAACACACATAGCAGGCGAGCCTGTCATTCGGCATCTACCATATACGACCGAAGTCAGAATTGCCCCGTGTTTGTGTCAGTATTCAGTCAAAATTTGCATCACCACCATGCGAGTCTTGTTAGTGTTAAGAGTTACGGTGGGGATTAGTTGCTGTGTCAGCTTCTGTCAGACACTGCGAGTTGAGCATTCACCTGTTAGTGTCAGCCATCTGGCACGAGCTGTATGACATCAGCCAACGTGCACCCGCCATCTGGCACGAGACAGCACTGGATGCTGTGTGAGTGTGAGCTGGGCATGTTAGTTCTGAGCAGAGTCAGTTCATGAAGGAGCGACAGGTGGCGGCACCACAGCGGCACGGCACTCGGTCCTTCTCCTCCTGGTCAAACCGATAGTCGTACCTGCATGGGGGGAGGGGAGGGGGAAGGGCGGAAGGGAAAGGGTGGACAAAGTGTCTTTTGAGTCCACTTAAAAGTCACCTGGGCGGCACCACAGCTGCACGGCACTCGGTCCTTCTCCTCACGGTCAAAGCGGTAGCCATAGCTGCTAAGGGCGGACAGTGGGGGTTGGCAGGGGTGGGAGTAGTTGTGCATGTATGTGTAGGTGTGCATGTGTGAGATATGCATGTGTGAGTGTGGGGCACATCAGCATGTGAGGCATGGGTGGTGGACCGTGGAAGCACAGGCCACTCAGACCAGCACACTCACGTTAGCTCCTCCCCTAATGCGTATTTCGAGCCACTCAAAATGTTTGAGTCCACTAAAAAACGGTGGAATGTGAAAGCACAGACCGCTTAGACCGCGGTATCAGCACACTCACGTTAGCTCCTCTCCCATGCGAATTGGGCGGCGAGCAATGATGACGATGATCGCACTCGGGTGGCCATTCTTGTCCTGTACGTCAAAGATCTTGGCAAAGCAGTTGGGGTTGCACTGATGAAGGGGATGAGGGATGCAGAGGGAGAGGAGGGGTTTACGACAAAGGATGGGAAACAAATAGCACGGGCACCTGAGAAACAGCATGAGCGAGCGAAAGCGTATTAAAATCCTAAATCTCAACGATGCAGAGTCGATGCAAATGGTATGCATTGTGCTGTGCGGTGTGACAAAGTACATGGCATGGCACATACAGAGTGATTCAGCGTGGTACAGAGTGGTTCAGCATGGTACGTACGGAGTGGTTCATCATTCTGGCGTAGTTGCTAGCCATGGTGGCATCCACCACTCGCTCCTCGTCCACCTTGAACAGCTGCGGGTGACAAATGGGGCCACATAACATGGGATTGAATTGGGGGCAATTACGATTTCATAAGTTTCTTGCTTGAATGAACAGCCGAGGCCATGGGGGCATCCATCACTCTCTCCTCGTCCACCTTGAAGAGCTGCGGGTGACGACACAACCAGCATGGAATGTGTAAGAATAATCCAGCTGCCTTGCTCGAGCAGGTGAGGCCGTGGTAGCGTCCACCACCCGCTTCAACAGCTGAGCATGACTACACACGGCACCATGTGACCACTCTCTCCTCGTCCACCTTGATGACTTCTGAGTCGACTCAAAAGTCACCTCGCTTCAACAGCTGAGCATGACTACACACGGCACCATGTGACCACTCTCTCCTCGTCCACCTTGATGACTTCTGAGTCGACTCAAAAGTCACCTCGCTTCAACAGCTGAGCATGACTACACACGGCACCATGTGACCACTCTCTCCTCGTCCACCTTGACCAGCGGCGGGTGACAATTGGGGGCACACCACATAGGAGTTAAAGATGATTTCGTAGATTGTTTGCTCGAACAGCGGAGGCCATGGCGGCATCTACCACTCTATCCTCGTCCACCTTGAACAGCTGCGGGTGACAACACACGGCAGCATGAGCATACGGCACATCACATCACATGGGACTTGTGAGAATGATAGGGATTTTCCTTCGTGAACAGCTGAGGGTGACAACACATGGCACGACAACATGGGGGAGTTTTTGAGAATTCTCAAAAACACCCTACATCACTGACAACACATGGCACGACAACATGGGGGAGACATAACGTGGAATTGGTGAGAATTCTGGCCAAGTCTTGCTTGAATTGAACCGTTGAGACCACACGGCACCATGGCATGGCATGTGTGCAGCATACATCGCATCACATGGGAGTAGGTAATGTGCGTGAGACTCATATGCACCCGCCCCACATGCACCTCGTAGTTTACTCGTTACACTCACATAGCACAGCTCCCCTTCGTTTTACTCACATAGCACAGCTCCCCTCTGTCTTGGTATCGCTTCTCCCTCAGCTCTGCCACACTCCGCCTCAGCGCCTCCCCTCGATAGTCCACCACCTGATGTAGTCACAATGGAAACAGTGAGAGATTGTCCACGTGATGGTCCGTGCCTCGAGACTGCATAAATGAACCATCAAGACGTGAAGCCATGACGTGTGTTGGCAGTGACATCAGAAGCCATGACGTGCGTTGGCAGTGACATCAGAAGCCATGACGTGCGTTGGCAGTGACATCAGAAGCCATGACGTGCGTTGGCAGTGACATCAGAAGCCATGACGTGCGTTGGCAGTGACATCAGAAGCCATGACGTGCGTTGGCAGTGACATCAGAAGCCATGACGTGCGTTGGCAGTGACATCAGAAGCCATGACGTGCGTTGGCAGTGACATCAGAAGCCATGACGTGCGTTGGCAGTGACATCAGAAGCCATGACGTGCGTTGGCAGTGACATCAGAAGCCATGACGTGCGTTGGCAGTGACATCAGAAGCCATGACGTGCGTTGGCAGTGACATCAGAAGCCATGACGTGCGTTGGCAGTGACATCAGAAGCCATGACGTGCGTTGGCAGTGACATCAGAAGCCATGACGTGCGTTGGCAGTGACATCAGAAGCCATGACGTGCGTTGGCAGTGACATCAGAAGCCATGACGTGCGTTGGCAGTGACATCAGAAGCCATGACGTGCGTTGGCAGTGACATCAGAAGCCATGACGTGCGTTGGCAGTGACATCAGAAGCCATGACGTGCGTGCGTTGGCAGTGACATCAGAAGCCATGACGTGCGTTGGCAGTGACATCAGAAGCCATGACGTGCGTTGGCAGTGACATCAGAAGTACACATCCTGACTCACCCACACGTGGATGACTCACCATCTCGCCCTCCTCAATGTCTCGCCTTGCCACCAGCCCCCAGTCGTGGATGGCAGAAACAAGAATAGGTCGGTCATGAAACACAAACGGCACGCACACATACACCCTACACGCCACACTCACAAACACACACCAACACCCACACTCGCACGCACCATCTCGCACTCCTCAATGTCTCTCCGTGCCACCAGCCCCCAGTCGTGGATGGCAGTAACGAGTACGGACGATCATGAAACCCGCGAACCCCACTGACACACTCACTCACCCTCCGCTCCCACCCCTTCTCCTCCCACCTTCTTCCCCCTTCACCCCTTCTCAACCCCACTCCTCCCCCCCCACAGACACCCACACACTCGCACTCACCATCTCGCCCTCCTCTATGTCTCGCCGCGCCACCAGCCCCCAATCATGGATAGCCGACCGCCCAAACGTGACTCTCTGCCCCGCAGTGGCCTGTAAGGGGGGACACACAAGGCAGAGCCGGGGAAGAGAAGCACAGAAGCAAGCGAGGCAAGGTGAGGCAAGGGAGGGAAGGGGAGGCAAGGTGACAAGGCGGTTGCGAAGCTAGGTAATGTCTCGCCGCGCCACCAGCCCCCAGTCATGGATAGCTGACCACCCAAACGTGACTCTCTGCCACGCCGTCGCCTGTAGAGGGGACAGACAAGGCAGAGCCGCACAGACAAGAGAAGAAGCACAGACAAGAGAAGCACAGACGCATATCCATTCAGACGAGGCAAGAGAAGGGAGGGGGAGACAAGGGAAGAATCGGTGCCTTGCCCCTCGCCCTTCGCTGGTTGCCCCTTCCCACTCGCCCCTTGCACTTTACCCCTTGCCCCTTCCTATTGCCCATGTGTGTCTCACTCACCCGCACAACTTTCATCCGCTCGGCTCGAGACGTGGCCACAGGCGGTTCCTCTGGCATTTGATTTTGAGGCACCTAAAAAAAACACCCTTTTTCCCTTGCCCCTTGCCCCTTGCCCCTTGCCCCTTCCACCATGCACTGCCCCTTGCCCTTCCTACTGCCCGTGTGTGTCTCACTCACCCGCACAACTTTCATCCGCTCAGCTCGAGACGTGGCCACAGGCAGTTCCTCTGGCGTCTGAGGGGTGACACGCACGAGGGGGAAACATGCCACACCCTTGAGTTGACTTAGAGATATAAAAGGGTGGTTCCTCTGGGGTCTGAGGGGTGACACGCATGCGTGAGGAGCACAAGGCATATGGTGGACAGTTTTTGCGAATGGAAACTGTAGTTGGAGAAAAATCCAAGGAGAATGTAGTTGGAGAAAAAACAGTCAATCAGATGCAGATTTGTGCGAGTTTATCTGGCTTGTTCTTATCACAACAGCAGCCCGTACCACCACAGTTGCTTTCAACACCACAGCAGCCATCAGCACCACTCAGAACCCCTTCAGCACTGCACTCACCCGCAGCTCCATGACGGTCTCCTGTCGTGCCAGCACAGCCCACCTATCAGATACGGCACCACCTCAGTCCGCGGTAGCTTTCAGTACCACAGCACCACACAGCACCGCACAGCACCGCACTCACCCGCAGCTCCATGATGGTCTTTCTGTCATGCCAGCACACCCCCCCAAGCAGATACGGCACCACCTCCTTGTGCCCCCGCCCCCACACCACACCCTCCTCATTCCCTCTTTAACAACAACTCATAGACCCACCCTCATCACCACACGACGGCCCTCAGCACCACACAGCACCCTTCACCACCGCACTCACCCGCAGATCCATGATGGTCTCCCTGTCGTGCCAGCACACCCCCCCAAGCAGATAAGGCACCACCTCCTTGTGCCCGCGCCCCCACACCCTCCGCACTCGCTCACTCGCTTCCACCTCCCCCTCCTCCCCCCTCCTCTCCATCCCCTCCTCCCTCCTCCCCTCCACTCCGCCCTCCGCTGTGCCATCTATTTTCACGAGTCCCACGCTCTCTGCCCGTTCCTCCGCCCTGCCCTCTCCTCGCCGCCATCGCATCCGGCTGTTCCGCCCTTGGTACAGCTGGCAGCGCGACAGCACACCCTTCATCTCATCCCCACCTCCTCCTCCTCTTCCTCCCCCTCCTGCTGCTGCTGTCCCCACCCGCTCACCTGCAGGCCTAGCTCTCCTGCTCCCCGCCCCTGCATGAGTAATAGTATCACCTTCAGATGATTCGGGACTGGGAAGCAACATCACATCGCTCTTAGACCCCTCGTCCTCTTCTTCCTCCTCCCCATCCTCCTCCCCCTCCTGCCCCCCCTCCTTCTCCTGTTCCTCCTTTACTTCGACAGCACCACCATCATCATCAGCAGCAGCACCATCGTTCCCATCATCACCCTCCCCTCCGCCTCTCTTCCGCCCCCTTTGAAGCTCGCCCAGGGTTCCCCCAAGCTCCTCCCTTCTCGCCTCTCCACCACCCAGCCCCCTTCTCGTCCCTTCTCCAACCTCCCCCCCACTTGCCTCTGCACTATCCTGGCCCCCTCCCATTTCTTCTGCATCCTCCACCCCCGTTCTCACCTCACCACTACCATCCTGAGCTCTCACCTCCTCCTCATCTCTCCCTCCCTCCTCCTCACCCATTAATATCACATCACTACTCGCGTTCGAATCAGCACCATTCTCACCATCTTTACCACCACCCTCCGTCCCCTTCGTCCCTCCACTCCCCTTCCGCCGCTTGACCTTCTCACCCCTCTCCTCCTCACCCCATTCATTCCCCTCCAACTCACCCTCTCTCCCCCTCCCTTTCCCCTTCTCCAAACCCCCTCTCTTCCCCTCCCCTCGCCCCTCCCTGCCCTCTCTCCCCTCTCTCCCCTCTCTCCCCTCCCTGCTCTCCCTGCCCTCTTTCCCCTCTCTGTCCTTCTCCCCATCCGGTTTGAGAGAGTCACTCTTGAGAGTGCCTGCCCCTATGGCAGGGAAACCAGTGATGCCAGTGCGCTTCCTCAGCCTCCCCCCTCGCTCAGTCAACCGCTTGCCAGCTGCAAGGGCTGCTGGGCCAATCACAGAAAGGTCGGGATTCGGATCCCTGCGAGGTGGGGAGTCAAGTGTGGAGGTGGGGGCGAGGGGGAGGGGGTGAGGGGGAGGGGGAGCGGGAGAGGGAGGGGGAGGGGGAGGGAGGTGAGAGAGGAGCGAAAGAAAGGCAGCAGGAAAAGACAGGGGATTAGCAGAAGATTGGTTGTAACCTGCTCTGTGCCTTAAACCTGTGTAGTGCCATACCTGTGTAGTGCCATACCTGTGTAGTGCCATACCTGTGTAGTGCCATACCTGTGTTTGGGGCAGAAGGTGCATCGCACCATGTGGTATGCTACCAGACCCCCTGCCTTGCCCTGCCATGCCCCCTGCCTTGCCCTGCCATGCCCCTTGCCTTGCAACCTGCTCTAAGCCATACCTGTGTTTGGGGCAGAAGGTGCATCGTAGTAGCTGGCCCGTGTCATCAGGCAGCACGTCCATGATCCACCCCGCCTTCATCGCACACACCACGTGGTATGCCACCAGACAGCGTGGGCCGTCGCACTGAATGCACGCGCCGTACGGCTGGCGGCAGATGCAGCACGCCTGAAGAGGGGCAGGGGTGGAGGGGAAAGGGTGGGTGGGAAGGGGTGTGTGCACAGTACCAAGCATTGTTGAATCCACGTTTATGGTCCATGATCCATGATCCACCCCGCCTTCATGGCACAGACCACATGGTACGCCACCAGACACCGCGGGCTGTCGCACTAAATGCATGCCCCGTACAGCTGGCGGCAGATGCAGCACGCCTGGAAGGGATGGGAGGGATGGGTGTGAGGAGGAGTTGTGGTGGGGAAGGGAGGGGTATGTGCACAGCACCAGTCACTTTTAAATCCATGATCCACCCCGCCTTCATTGCACACACCACATGGTATGCCACAAGGCAGCGCGGGTCGTCGCACTGAATGCACGCGCCGTAGGGCTGGCGGCATATGCAGCACGCCTGGGTACAGGCACAGGGAGGGAGCAGTAGAACAGGCAACGTGTGAGTGGGATTAACGGAAAAAGACAAGGGAAACAGTGGGTGTCGTACGAGCACCACCACAGCAGAAACGCTGACTGCAGAAACGGACACCACCACTTCTCACCATCCATCACCGTTTCTCACCAGTTTGAACTGCTCTGGATCCACAAGCTGAATGCCGTCCAGCACCTCCCCCTCGCCCTCCCCCACCACACTCACGCCCGGCATCCACAGCCCACACACCAGATGCGCCCACCTCTGCCGTGCCACCCCCCCCTCCCCACCCCCAGACACCCGGCAGCAAAAACGGACACCACCATTTCTCACCAGTTGTCACCGTTTCTCACCAGCTTGAACCGCTCTGGATCCACGAGCTGAATGCCGTCCAGCACCTCTCCCTCGCCCTCCCCCAGCACACTCACGCCCGGCATCCACAGCCCACACACCAGATGCGCCCACCGCTGCCGTGCAACGCCCCCCTCCCCACCCTCTCCCCCTCCAGGCCCCACTCCCCCTGCTCCAAACCCGGCCCCCCGCCCCGCTGCCCCAAACGCCACTCCCCGCCCACCCCTCCCTCCTGCCACTGCTGCAGCAGCCGCAGCAGCAGCGGCGGCAGCAGCAGCAGCTGCAGCGACAGCAGAACCACCAGCTGCTGCTGTTTTTCTCCAGGGCGTCTCGCCTTTGCTTCTGCTGCTCCCAGGGAGGGCGAGTTTGATGGTCGTGGGCTTTAAAGCCCCACCCCGCACAGGGCACAGACAGCACTCCCTCCGAATCTCATCCTCCTCCTCTTCCTCCTCCTGCTTTTCCTCCCCTGCTCTGGTTGCTCCTGTGCCCCCGCCTCTTCCTCTGCCCAGCCCTGCAACGGCTCCCCCTCCCACTCCTGTGCTACCCGAAGCCACTAGCGCCATGGTATCAGAGCTTTTCCCCTTGGCCTTGCCCTTGCGTTTGCCTTTGCCACCCGCTGCTGTGAGAGCGTCTGTGTCAGCCTCTATCTTTGCACCAGAATCCATGTGATTGCTGGTGTTGCTGGGATTGCAGGTACCGGTGGTAGGGTTGGTGGAATGGTCGCAGCAGCGGCAGAGCCATGACATGCCAAACGCAGCGGAGAAAACCGAGGGTTTCCCTGCAGCAGCAGCACCAGCATCAGCGTCAGCGTCAGCACCGGCACCAACACCAGCTCCTTTACCTGGCGACCCAGGCGGGGCCTCGATCCCGTAGCACTCCTCATGCACACCCATCTCACACTTGACACACACGAGCATGCGACTAGCATCTGAGTCTTCATCGCTGTTGCACACAGCACACCGCTCCGACGTCCACTTGTATTCTACCCCCTCGTATGGCTCACTTAAAGCCTTTTCCAGCCATGCCACACCTCCCCTGGGATCCAAGGACCCCTTTGCACCGGCTCTGCCTCTCATTGCACCCACTCCCACTCCTCCGATTCCTGCTGCGACTGCGCTGCTGCCGCCCGCACTGCGCAGTGTGGATATGATTCCCTGCTGCCGGTTGCCCGGGCGGCTGCGGGGTGGAGGGTCCTCGTAGAACAAGAGGCCTCTGACTCCCGCCTCGTGGGACGCCTGGAGCTGAGGGGAGGGAGAGGAGGAGAAACAGCAAGGAGAGGGAGGTGGTGAGGGGGAGGGTCCTTGTAGAACAAGAGGCCTCTCACCCCCGCCTCGTGAGATGCCTGGAGCTGAAAGTGTAAGGGAAGGTGTGTGGGGTGGAAGTGGCATGAGGATTTGGGGAGAGAGGGCAAACTGCAAGGAGAGGCGGAGGGTCCTCGTAGAACAAGAGGCCTCTCACCCCCGCCTCGTGGGATGCCTGGAGCTGAAGGGAGGAGAAGGGACGAGGGGAAACAGCAAGGAGAGGGAGGAGGTGAGGAGGATGGTCCTTGTAGAACAAGAGGCCTCTCACCCCCGCCTCGTGGGATGCCTGGAGCTGCGGGAAGCGGAGGTGGTGGATGTAGCGAGATGGGGGGGTGAGGAGGGGGAAAGAGGTGAGGGGAAATGAAGCAAGGAGAGAGGGAGGATTCTTGTGGAACAAGAAATCACTTTTTGAGAATTCTCAAAAGTGATTTCAACATAAGAGGTGAGGGGAAATGAAGCAAGGAGAGGCGGAGGGTCCTTGTAGAACAAGAGGCCTCTCACGCTCGCCTCGTGGGATGCCTGGAGCTGTGGGGAAAGGGAAGGAGCGTGTGGGGGGGTTGGGAGAGGTGGGGGGAGGTGTGAGGCTGTGTGGACGGCAGAGGGGAAACAACAAGGAGAGGCGGAGGGTCCTTGTATAACGCCTCCCGCCTTTCACAAGGACCCTCCGCCTCTGAGTCCTGCTTCGTGAGACGCCTGGAGCTGTGGGGGAAGGAGAGGCGTGGGGCGAAGGGGCGTGAGGGGAAAGAGCAAGGAGGGGGGAAGGATCCCTGTAGAAAGCGAGTGAGGCCTCTCACCCCCGCCTCGTGAGATGCCTGTAGCTGTGGGGGACGAAAAGGAAAGAGAGGGTGAAGACGGAGGGAGGCGTGAGGTAAACGAGTGGAATGAGGGAGGGAGTGAGGAGGAAATGCCTGGTCGAAAGCAAGGCCCCACTCTCAAGCATGCAGCAGAAGTATTCAGCAGAAATTTATGCTAATCGCTTACCCAGGCAAAGAGGGTTGTCTTCTTCTCAGCGCCCTGCAGCAGCACAGATGATTTCCACTTCTTGGAGCGACACTGCGCATGCTTCTCAAACTCACTCAGCGCCATCAACACTCCCCCTGCTCCCCCTGCTCTCCCACTCTCAACCTCCCCCCCACCAGCCGCAGCAGCAGCAGCAGCAGTGCTAGCGGCGCTGCTCTTGCTGCTGCCCCCCATGGCCTTGGGGCGGCAGGAGCGGCAGCAGCAGTGCACGAGGTGAAGCGAAGGGAGATATACGCCCTTGTACGAAGCACACGTGACGGGCACTGGTGGGTGGCAAACAGGTATGGGTGGCGCCGCTGCTATCTTGTTGTCCCCTTCCGCTTCTGCCTCAGGGGAGGATGATGGAGTGTGAGGTGAATCTTCAGGTGAATCTTCAGGTGAATCTTCAGGTGAATCCTCAGGTGAATCAGACTGTGGGGAATCAGCTCTGTGAGAAGCGTCCTTAGTGGCCAAGTATCCATTCCCATCCGCGTCTCCCTTCATCTCCACTGCCTCTTCATCCCATTCTTCCTTCACTCTACCTCTACCACCTCCTCCTTTCCGCCCCTGCCTACCACCATCATCCGACCCAACCCTACCCCCTCCCTCACCCTCATCCCAATCCTGATCCTCCTCATCCCCATCCCCATCCCCATCCCCATCCCCATCCCCATCCCCATCCCCATCCCCATCCCGATCACGATCCCCACTCCCATCCCTGTCGAGGCGACAAACATGCAGGCCCTCCCGTTTCACCTCGTCGATCCGCAAGCGCGCACCACCCAGGCTGAACCCCCTCCCCATCCCTGTAATCACCTCCATCCCAGACCGTCCCGCTGTCTCCCTCTCTGCATCTCTCCCCTCCTCCTTCAACCAAGCAGCAGCGGCAGAAGCAGCAGCCTGAGCAGCCTCCTTAGCCCTCTTCTCCCTCTCATCCCGCTCCTTCCTCTCCCTCTCCTCCCTCTGTTGCCTCTCCTCCTTCTCCCTCCCCCTCCTCTCCCTCCTCTCCCTCTTCTCCCGCTCCTCCACAGCCTTGGTCTGCCGGCAATTCGGGCACAGATACACCGCATCGTTCTTAATCGCACTCAACCGCTGCCTAGAGATCCCGTCGCACTCCGCATGGACCCACAGCTGGCAACAATCACAGTGGGCGAAATCTCCCTTCTCGTTGGGCAGCCACACGAGAAGGCAGAGAGGGCAGAACTGCAGCGACTGGAACAGCTTGCGGCACTGTATGCAGAGGGGGACGGAGTCCAGTAGTTCGTCTACTAGCCTGTGGGCATAGCTGCTGCCTGCTGCTCGTTCTTCTAGCGTGGCACCTGCAGCACCAGAAGCAGACGCACCAGCAGCAGAAGCACGAGCAGCAGAGGCACGAGCATCCCCACAGGCAGCACCAGCACTAGCACCAGCGGCAGCACTGTCATCAGCACTCTCCCCACCACTGTCAGCGGCAGCACTGTCACTCCTACCACCTCCCTTGACACCCTGACCTGCTTTGCCCTGTCGGCTTGCTCCCACGCTCCTGCTCCGCTTCTTACTCATCCCCCACACCCACCCGCCATTCCTCCCCTTCTCCGGCCTCCCCCTCCCCCTCCCCCTCCCTCTCCCCCTCCCGCCGCCCCTCTTACCCTTTTCTTCCCCCTTCGACTCCTCCTCCCAGCCCTCCCCATCCTGCCCACTCCCTACCACCAGCTTTTTCCTGCTACTGCCCCCACTACCGCCCCTCCCCCTCCTCCGCTTCTTCCCAACCCCCTCATCCCAGTCACTCTCCCCCCCAGAAGAGTACCCTCCGCTGCCCTCCCCCTTCTTTCTCCCTTTCCCTCCGCCAACCCCTCCTGGCGAAAAGAGATCATCCAGTGTGCGAGTGGGGCGACCAATCACACCGGGCATGATCCGGCATCCCACACACATCATGCCCTCTCCCGCTCCTCCTGCTGAACCTGCTAGTTTCGCTGCTGTTGCCCCTCCCTTCGTTGCCCCCAAAAGCCCACCCAACCGCCCACCTCCTTTCCGAAAACCAGGAGCAGCAGCAGCACCACCACCACCATCACCAGCAGTGGTGGCAGCGGCCGCACTTGTGCCAAGCTTATTCCCTTCCTGCCCGTCCCACCCCTCCTCCTCACCATCCCCCATCACTCCTCCACCTCCTTCCTCTCCCCCTCCCTCTTCTCCTTCCCCTCCCCCGCCTCCCTCCATCTCCTCATACCCCACCATCCCTTCACTCTCCAACACCGCTTCCTCCACCGCCTTCCGAAACTCCTTTGGCCGATTCCTCGCCGTCAGCGGCTGGCTCTCATACTTAACCAAAAAATCCAAAAAGGGCACAATACTCCCCTCAGGCACCCACGAGTAGTCCCGGTCGCGCTTTTTGCTAAGCGACGGCCCGAAGAACATGACACACAGCCGGTCAGCTTCAGCAGCGCTCCTGACAGCATCCGGGGCATCATAGATTGGATCTACCACACGGGCGGGCCACCATGGGTCCTTCTTTCGCCCTGACTTGGCCCACACTATGTCGCCTGCTTCGAAGCTTCCCAGGCAGAATAGCAGCGGCTTTGGCCTGGGGGAGAGATACATGGGAGAGCCTGGTTCCGGTTTTGGTTCTGGGATTGATACAGATGCTGGTGTATCGGTGGTTTCAAGCGGTGATGTGCGCTCTGCTGCTGCTTTCCTCACCGCTGCTGCTGACACAGCTCCTGCTGCTTCCCCTGCTTCTGCTTCTGCTGCTGCTTCTGCTTTTGCTGATGCATTCAATTTCCGTGCTCTGGCTGGGCGAATGTGAGGTGGTGACGGGGACCGAGAGGGTGATGCTTGAGTCGACTCAGAAACTCTTGCTGATGCATTTGCTTTCCGTGCTCTGGCTGGGCGAACGTGAGGTGGTGATGGGGACCGGGACGCTGATATAGATGGCGATGCTGATGCTGATGCTGATGCTGATGCTGAGGCTGATGGTGATGCAGACGTGGATTTTGATTGTGAGAGCGATTCTACTGGTGATGTTGATGGCGTTGGGGAAGGAGGGGGGGAGAGGGATGTTGAAGGAGACAGAGCTACTGGGGTATCGGTCTCAGTAGCTGCTTCACTACCAACACCACCACCAACACCATGCGTTTCTGTTGAACCGGAATCAGCTGGAGCATGGCAGGATGCAGCAGCCGCTGAAGCATCACGCCTATCCTCACCAGCACCACCGTCACCATCACCATCCATATCATCGGTCGAAGCATGCGATTTATGACCATGACGAGGAGGAGAAGAATCTCTTGCCATGTGCCCACCATCACTGGACAAATCACGAGCACCACGATCCAAAGAACCATCACCCCCATCAAATTGAGATTCAGCAGCACCCACAGCCTGTGGGGCCATGTGCATATCCCTAGCAGCAGCAGCCACACCCTTAGGCCCTGCCTGCACTGCTGTAGCAGCAGCGTCTGTGACCGACTGTACTCGCCTCATCAAGGGCCGAATTATCCTCCTCTTCCCCACTCTCTCTGCTACTGCCCCACCCCCATCGCCTGCTCTTTCTGCCCTTTCTGCTGCCTCTGCTATTGCCTCTCCTGCTGCTGCTGCAGCTTCTGCTTCTGTTGACTCTGCTTCCACCTTCTGCCCATCTGCTTCTTGTGATTCCATCCCCTCATCTCTCTCAGTCTCTTCACGCACTTCCACCACATCAGCATCCCCGCCTCTCTCTTCCACCACATCAGCATCCCCGCCTCTCTCTTCCACCACATCAGCATCCCCGCCTCTCTCTTCGCTCGACTCAGCTGCTCCTCTCATTGCCTCTGTACACTCCAGCCCCACTTCCTGCACCTCTGCCTCTCCCGATTCCTCCCCTTGTTCCTCTATCACTGCTTCAGTCAAGGCCACCTCCCCACCTTGCGCCTCTCTAGCCTCTCTTCGATCCAAACGCACCTCCACCACGTCGGCTTCCTCATCTGCCTCTCCTGCTGCATCTCTTTCACTTGCCCCTTCCGCTGCGTCTCCTTCACCCGCCCCTCCCACTGCTTCCCCTTCGCCTGTCCCTCCCGCTGCTTCTTCTTCACCTGAACCTGCTGATGGCTCTCCTGATGGTTCTGCTTCTCTTCTCGATTCCCACAGCCCACGTTCCTGCACCCCAGATTCTGGCCCCTCTGTCTTTACTTCCACCACATCTGCTTCCTCACCTGCCCCTTGTGCCGTTCCTTCCTCTCCCAGTCCTGCCACTTCCACTGCCTCTCTTCTTGCATCTTGCAACCCAACCTCCTCCTCCACCCCTGCTCCCACTCCGTCTGCTCCCACTCCCACAACATCCGCTTCCTCACCAGTCTCCTCTAAACCTGCCTCTTCCTCTACCGCATCTCCACCCACCTGTCCGCCCACCGTCATATCCACCTCACTATCCACCGTCATATCCACCGTCCTATCCACCTCACTATCCACCTCACTATCCACCTCACAATTCACCTTTGCACTACCCAGTCTCTCCCCAGCCATGCCCTCACTGACAACTCTCCCTTCGTCCACTCCTGCCTTATCTCCCTCGTTCACTCGAGTCACCTCAATGGCAGTTTCCCTCCTCGACTCTTCCTCTCCCATTTCCCCTTTCACTTCCTCTTTCTCTTCCTCTTTTTCTTTCTCTTCCCCTTCGCTATTCTCTTCCGCTTTCTCTTCCACATCGCCTTCCTGTTTCCCTTCCTCGTCCCCGTCCCCTTCTTCCGTTTTATCTCCCACTTCCTCTTCCTCTGCCTCATTCTTCTCTGCTCTCTCCTTCTCCACACCTCTCCCCCTGTGCCTTTTCCTCCTCTTCTTCCTTCCATGCTCCCACTCTTGCACCTCCTCCTGCTCCTCTTTCACCTCCTCTAGAACCTCCTCCACTTGCACCTGTTTCTCCTCCACCTCCTTTTCCACCTCCTCTTTCACCTCCTCTTGTACCTCCTTTTTCTCCTCCTCCACCTCCTCCTCCTCCTCCACCTCCTTCTCTTTCACCTCCTCATCTTTCGCCTTTTTCTCTTCCACCCCTTCCTCTGGCACCTCTTCCACCCCCTCCTCTTTCACCCCCTCCTCTTGAACCTCTTCCAACCCTGCTGCATCCTTAGGACCCTCCTCCTCGCCACCCCCCTCAACACACCCCTCACTCCCATCCCTAACCACAACTGCTTCCACATCCCCTTCCTCCTTCCCTCGCTCCTCACCACCGCTGCCTTTCCCTCCTTCCTCGGTCTCGTCCGCAGTATCCCTTGCAGAATCCACAGACGCTGCAACTCCAACAGCCATTTCAGCGTCAGCCATGTGGTTTCCTGGCAGTTTAGCAGTGGCCATCCCACCCCTTTCAGCCACGTCACTAACAGCCTCCTCCTCTGCCTTTTCTGCCTCCTTTTCTGCCTCACCCCCCTCCTCCTCGTCTTCAATCCCTTCCTTCTTTACTTCGACCCCCTTCTCTACCTCACCCCCTCCCTCAGATTCAGCACCTTTCTCTACTTCACCCCCCTCCCCGTCTGCAGCCTTCTCCTTCTCCTCATTCCCTTCCTCCTCATCCCCCTCCTCCTCCTCCTCCTCCTCTTCCTCCTCCTCGTCGTCCTCCTCCCCTTCCTCCTCCTCCTGCGCCCTCGTCCTCCTTTTCCCCCCACGCCTACTCTGTGCCACCCGTTCACTTCTTGCTCCCTGCTCCTTCACCCCACCCCGCTCATGCCTCCTCCCCTTCTCCTTCTTCCCACTCCTCCCACCCCTCCTACTCCTCCCGCTCCGCCCAGTATCCCCCACCTGAATGCCCCTCCCGGCTTTCTCCGCCTGTTCTCTCGCCCCCCCCGAACGCCCCTTCCCCAGAACCACATCCAGAGCAGACAGGGCCAGCACAAGAGACAAACCGGCAGGTCCGTCCAGAGGGGGAGGTAGTACTGGTGAAGGCTGTGCTGAGGGCGGCTTGACTGTGCTCACCGCTACTGGGGGAGCTTGTGCTTCTGCTGCTGCTGCAGATTCTTTCATCTCCTGTCCATTCTCCCTCCCCTCACGGTCTCTCTTTCCCACCATCTCCACCCTCCTCTCCCTCCTCTCCCACTCTCCCGTTGTCTCTGCCTCTCTGCTCCCTCTGGCACGTCCAGCTAGCCTGCCAACCATCTCCCCTTTAGCCCTTCTCCTGTACACTCTCGCCCCCAGCACTGGTTCCCCTCCCTCCTCTCTCCACTCCTCTTCTCTTACCTCCTCATTTCTCTCCTCCTCTTCTCCCACTTCCTCATCGTTCCTCTCGTCTCTACCCTCCTCTCCCCCCCCCTCCTCTTCTCTCCCTTCCTCATCCCTCCCCTCCTCTTCGCTCCCTTCCTCAACTCTTGCCTCCAATTCTCTTCCTTCCTCTGCCCTCCCATTCTCTTCTCTCCCCTCTTCACGCTCTTCTTCCTTTCCCTCCTCCCTCTCCTCCTCTCTTCTCTCCTCTCTCCTTTCCTCTTCCCTCGCCTTCACTTCACTGCCTCCCACTCTCGTCCTCTCCTTGTCGATCCCTACCATCCCTCCAACCTCCCTTTCACTCTCCTTCTCCCTTCCCTCAGTTCCCTCGTCCTCAGCCCATGGCTCAGGAGCAGATGCCTCAGGGGCAGCAGATGGTTCGAAAGGAGAAGATGCATCACGAACAACAGATGGATCACCGGCACCACATGGCATCTCAAGAACAGCAGATGGCTCAGGGGCAGCAGATGGCTCAGGGGCAGCAGAGGCTTCAGGGGCAGCAGAGGCTTCAGGGGCAGCAGAGGCTTCAGGGGCAGCAGAGGCTTCAGGGGCAGCAGAGGCTTCAGGGGGAGCACATGGATAAACAGCAGCAGACAGTTGAGGAGCAACACAGGACTTGTCAACAGCAGCAGCTTCTTCATCAGCCGCCACAAACGCTTCACTGTGCTTCCGCTTCTTGTCCACTGCTAATGCACACTGTGCTGCAGAAGCACCGACTGCCTGTGCAGCAGCAGCAGCAGCAGCAGCAGGTGTGCCATGAATTTCCATCTCCCCCTCCTCCCCGACTTTTTGTGTCCTCTGCTCCTGCTCTTTGTCTTGCCTCACCTGCTCTCGCTCCTTTGCCTCCCCACATTTCTCGCTCTCCTGGTGCTCCTGCTGCTGGTGCTGCTGCTGCTGCTGCTGCTGCTGCTGCTGCTGCTGCTGCTGCTGCTGCTGCTGCTGCTGCTGCTGCTGCTGCTGCTGCTGTTCCTCTTGACCCTGTCCCTGCTGCTGTTGCTGCTGCTGCTGCTGCTCGTGCTGTGGCTGCTGCTTCGCCATTACTGGCTGCTGTTGATGTTCCTCCTGCTCTCGCTCCTGTTCCTGCTTCTGCTGCAGTTTCTCCTCCTTATTCTCCTCCCGCTGTTGCTGCTGTTGTTGTTCCTCCTGCTCCTCCTGCTCCTCCTGCTCTTCCTGCTCCTGCTGCCCCTCCTCCTGCTGCAGCATTAGAGGAAAAGCGTTCTTCTCTTCCCCAGACGCATCCAACTCCGCCTTCCCCTCCACCTCCTTCTCTCCTCGTCCCTTCTCCTCTTCCCCTGGTTGCTCTTCCACCGTCACCTCTGCTTCTTCCCTCACCTTACAAGTTTGGATCGCATCCAAATCACACACCTCTGCTGCTTCCATCCGCCCCTCCTTATGCTCCTCAGCAAGTGATTCTTCGTGCTTCTCAGCGGCACACTCCTCTACCGCGTCCCCCTGCTCCTTCCGAGGAGCCGCAAAAGCAGAATCTGAAAACCCTCCCACCTGCCTCTCCTTGTGCTCCTCAGCAACTGACTCCTTGAACGCCCCAGCAGCATTCTCCCCAACCTCTTCTGCCTGCTTGTGCATCTCGTGTCCTTCATCCCTCAGGGCGGCTTCAATGGCAGCTTCTGGACGCTCTTCCACCTGGTGTGCTCCACGCACCCCACCAAGAGACGGTTCTCCCAGTTCCACGTTGCTAGGCTGACGGGCGTCACTACCACCCTCATCTACCTTTCCCCCCTCCTGCTCCCCACCTGTCACTATCTGCGTTGGCAACCAATCCGCCGGCTTTCTTCTCTTAGGCTTCTTCCTCCTCCCCTCTCCTTCCTCGCCCCGCACCGCCTCTCTCTTGCCCCTCCTTGCCCCACTCTCGCCACCCCTCCCCTGCTGCTGCTCCCACTTCTTCTCATCTGCACTCAATCCCCGATACCTATTTTCCGTTCCACACACCCAGTCCTCTATATCATCCTCCCCCTCTTCCTCCTCCTCTTCCACCTGTTCCTCCTCCTCTGCACGTTGCAGTGTGTCAGACGTAACCCCAACCTTCTTCTCCTCATCCGTAAACCCCTTCCCAGCTCCCTTCGCGTTTGCTTCCTCCGTTTCTTCCTGCCGAGACAGTGGCACCGGTTGTTCCTTGTCAAGAGCAGTCAGAAGCTTCATCTTCGCCTTACCCTCCCCATGCTCACTGCTCTCGCCAGGCCACTCCTCCTCATCCCCACCATACTCCTCCCTTCCCAAGTCAGTAGCTTTCTCTTTTCTCACCGCTTTATCAAACCCCTCTTCCGCTCTCACCTCAACCACCTCTTTACTTTGATTTTCTGAATCCCTCTGCTCCTCCTGTTTCTCAAGCTCCCTCTGTTGCTCCTGCTTTCGCTGCTGTTCCTGTTTTTCCAGTTCCAAATGCTGCTGTTTCTCCAACTCCTTCTGCCTTTGTTTCTCTAGCTCTCTCTCTTGCTCCATCTCCCTCTGCCTCTGTTCCTCCAACTGCTTTTGCTGCTCCAGCTTCCTCTCCTGCTCCTGTATCTCCAGCTCCAATCGCTGCTGTCTCTCCAACTCCCTCTGCCTTTGTTTCTCTAGCTCCCTCTGCTGCTCCAACTCCCGCAGCCTCTGTTTCTCCAACTGCATTTGCTGCTCCAGCTTCCTCTCTTGCTCCTGTTTCTCCATCTCCAGTTGCTGCTGTCTCTCCAACTCCCTCTGCCTCTGTTTCTCTAGCTCCCTCTGCTGCTCCAGCTTTCTCATCTGTTCCTGTTTCTCCAGCTCCATTTGCCGTTGTTTCTCTAACTCCCTCTGCCTCCGCTTCTCCAGCTCCTTCTGCTGCTCCAGCTTCCTCTCCTGCTCCTGTTTTTCCAACTCCCTTCGCCTCTGTTCCTCCAACACTCGCTGCTGCTCCAGTTTCCCCTGCTGCTCTTGTTTCTCAATCTCCAATTGCCGCTGTTTCTCCAACTCCCTTTGCCTCTGTTCCTCCAACACCCTTTGCTGCTCCAGCTTCCTCTGCTGCTCTTGTTTCTCCAACTCCCTCTGCCGCTGTTTCTCCAACTCCCTCTGCCGCTGTTCCTCCAACACCCTCTGCTGCTCCATCTCCCTCTGCTGCTCCAGCTTCCTTTGCTGCTCCTGTTTCTCCAACTCCAACTGCCTCTGTTTCTCCAACTCCAACTGCATCTGTTTCTCCAACTCCTTCTGCCTCTCTTCCACCAATACCCTCTGCCGCTCCAGCTCCCTCTGCTGCTCCAGCTTCCTCTGCAGCTCCCTTTTCTCCAGTTCCAATTGCCGCTGTGTCTCCAAATCCTTCAGCCTTTGTCTCTCTAGCTCCCTCTGCTGCTCCTGTTTCTCCAGCCACTGTTTCTCTAACTCCCGCTGCCTCTGTTTCTCAAGCTCCCTCTGCTCATCCAACTTCCTCTGCTTCTCCTGTTTCTCACGCTCCAGTTGCCTCTGTTTCTCCAGCTCCCTCTGCTGCTCCAACTTCCTCTGCTGCTTCTGTTTCTCCAACTCCCTCTGCTTCTCCAACTCCCTCTGCTTCTCCAACTCCCTCTCCTGTTCCAGCTTCCTTTGTTGCTCCCGTTCTTCTTGCTCTCGCTCCTGCTGCCCATAATGCTGCCGTGTCTCCTCCATCGCATCCCTTCCACCTTCCCTCCGTTCCACGTGACCCCTTAAACCTACATTCTGTTCCCATGTCTCGCCGGCTCCCGTTATAGAATGTATCGGTTTCTCATCAAATGCTGAAAACTGTAGTTGGCCACTACCATGAGAGTCAAACGAAGGAACCTGGTTCGTTCCTGGATCCATAACCCCCTGCCCGTCCAACCTGAACGTGACCCCTTCCATTGGTTCCAACCCTGAAAACCCTGGAAGGAGAGGCTCGGCCAAACCAAACATCCCAGCATCCAAACCAGCAGCCTCAGCACCCGCTCCAGTCTCTCCATCCATACCGCCTCCTCCTCCCAGAAACATGTTGACCATGAAAACAGCGTCATCCTCGAAGATGTTATTGCCGGGCTGAGACTGATTCAGAGAGTCATCCCCGCTATAGAGTTTAAAGTCAGAACCCCCTTCCATGGGATTAACACCTTCCATTCGTGGATCCTGGAGTCCATTAAAACTCATGCTAGAACCACCGAAGCCTGTCTGGATAATATTCTGTCCTAGCGGAATTGCTGGAGGGCCTGCAAATGCAAAGGAATCCATGGTTGGTAACGAAGCGATTTGAGGCTGGTTAAGTGGTTCCGCTTGGACATGCTGCAAGGGCAAGGCATCTGAGGTGGCTTGATAGCTGCTGCCGGGAGGCTTATCACCCAGAAACGGGGATAAAGTGTAACTTCCCGGAACCAAGCCACTAACGCCTGTCGGTCCAACCCCTTGCATGGTATTCGCTACGAAATTACTGGAACTTGCTCGAAGTCCTAGCGGGGTATTAAGGTTTGACGTTCCTTGGTATGAAAGATTAAAGTTGCTCTGGCCTCCCGGCCAAGAGCTAGGATCGGTGGTTCCGTTAGTGCCTGTGCTGTTCGCAGCATACCTAGTGGAACCAGGAAGTGGCGTCGTAGTGTCAATTCTCCCATCCCGCTGAACTCTAGGCGGTCTTTGATGCGGTTGATTAAAGCCGCGATTCATCGTGCTGTTGCTGTAAAGTAGAATACGAAAGCAACATGAGAAAAGACGATGGTAGAACAAACTACACGATAAGAAAAAGAGAGAATGCTCGCGAAGTAATCTGGCTTCCTGACTGACTCAGATTTAGATTGCTCGCCTGGGTTTCAACAGCTAATAGGCAGACCTTACTTCACGCGGTAGAGGGACTCTAAACGAGCTGCTTAGTAAAGAAAAATAGAATAGGCAAGGTCCTACAGCACTATTGAATTGTGAAACTGAAGAGGGATCTCGAGGGAGCGACGACGCCCCCAGAGTTTGTGAAGCTTACGAGAAAGCTGAAGCAGGTAGACAAGTGTGATTGAGAGTCGCACCTAGATGTTAGGTCAGGGACTCGGTTCGGGCCCTACAGGTCAGATAGAAACGTTGCCTTGGTTGCATAGCGATGCGGCCCTGACTTCATTTTACGTATGGCCGAACCAGACTCCGAGCTAGTTTGAAGTGTCAAATTTGAAAGTGAATGCACAATTGGCACGGAAGCAAGCCGCTAAGCGTAATGCTTATGAAGACTGCTTTGGGCCTCGGAGACACCCAGGTCGTGCTGACAAACTCTCACTTTGCCTCATCCAAAAGCAAACCGAACCAATCACTGGTGACGAGGTGAGGTAGTCAGGCTCGGGCAGAATGCCTCGAGCACTTCGCTTGCTGATTCATCTTTGACCAGAACAAACCAACACCTGCCCAGTCTTTCACCCTCCCAAACATTTTAGATCTACACCGAAATATTGTTTAGTTATGAGTCTGAAATATGTCCGGTCACAAAACCACCAATAACGGGGATCTGCTTGTGACTTCTACTATTTGTTCCCCAAAATAACCTAGATTCTTTTGAGTGCCTTTCTTGTATCGTCCCATGTGTCAGCCTGCATGCATCCAAAGTGTCGGGCTGCTTGCCTGTAGTTATTAACGAGGTAACGAGGCAACAGCTGCTGCGTCAGAAATGATAATTATCAACTGCGAGGAGCGTCGTCATGCTTGCTGACGCGTGGTGTGTTTAATTCCGAGGAGCAGCTGCCTGATGGCTGAAAGAGTGTTCTCGAACGTTGTTCGCAACCCGATTTTCCGCCCGAGCCGCGTTCGTCTTCGCCACCAGCAGCTCCTAGTGCGGTGCGTGCGTACTAATGCTCGCTCTTCCTCTTCCATCGCAATTCCCGTGTGTCTTTTTTCCTGTTTTTCCCTCTAGCTGCTACTGTCCTTCCGCTTCTGCTTTTCCGCCAGTCCTCCCTGATGGCTCGCTCTTCCGGATTGGTCGCTTTGGGTCTTCTTGCTCTCTTTCTTCTGGCCGTTCCGTTTGTAAGTCCGAGCAAAACGTTCTACGACGTATCCGACGCCATCACGACGTCTAGCTATTTGACTGCTCCCTCGATAGTCGACCACCACCGCGCGCTCATTAGTTGATCGTTACACGTCTCGTATGGCTCATGAGGCGTCCCTAATTCTTTTTCCATACTTTTTTGAGACGCACGGAGGGCGAATAGTAATACGTAACTTGTTTTCGTAAGAAATGATTACACCTGATTGACTTCGAGTTTCGTGTTTGTCCACGCATCTGAAGCATTGCGCCTGGTTTCATGTTCGTGTTCTCTCCCGTGCTCGTGGCCAGGCGCGCGCATCATGGCTGCCTGCGGACAGTCTGACGTGTGTGCCGGCAACATCAACGGTGATGGAGCGCAGTGAGGGGCGCAGCCGCTGTGCGTACGACAGCCGCCTTGGCTACCGCGCCATCGGTGTCGGCTACAATCTCGATGACAAGTCGGACGAGCGCGCGAGGTTGCCACCATTGTTGCTGACTTTGACAAGGTAACTCCGGTTCTTTGTCTCAAATGTTGATGCGTTTTACATTAGTTGATGTTTAGATTCCGCCCACACACCACATGTGTCCGCCTTTTTGCAGCTTTTTGTAAACAGTTTCACTTCCTCCTGTGGCATGTCTTGGGGCAGTCAAAAAAATAATTCCCTCCTGTGGTGTGTCTTTATCCCCGGCAGCTGTACCAGGGGGAGGAGTGTCTGAACGACGTGCAGATACATGTTGTGCTGGCGTTTGTTGAATCCAACTTATGAATTGACACAGAAAAATTCCTCCCTGTGATGTCTGTTTGTTTATCCCCCGCAGTTGTACCGCGGGGAGGAGTGTCTGAACGACGTGCAGATCAATGCCCTGCTGGCGTTTGATGCGCGGCGCTACCTTATCCGCGCCAAGGAGCGCATTGAGAAGTTCAACAGCTTCTGCTGCAACGTGCAGTCCATCTTCGCTGATATTGCCTTCACTCACGGTGAGCCTTCTCTCACTCACAGAGTGCGCCCTCTTGATGCTGGCGCTGTCTGTCACCAAGTTTTCCAGCTGATCTCCTTTTGTCTGCTGCATCTCATGCTCATAAGAGTTGCTCTGTCTTCAACCTTCACCCTGTGTTTTCTCCTCTTTTCAGCCAAGACGCGGCTGGGAGCGCAGTTCAGTCCGGCGATAGAGAGAGCGCAGAGCTCGCAGTATAAGGAGGCAGCGGAGGATCTCAGGCGTTCCAAGTGGTGCCGCAAGCACGAGCAGGTGTGCCGGGCGGACACCCGAGCCATGGAGGAGGGCTGTCCCACTGCTGCTGTCAGCGGCAGCCGCAAGGTGAGGCGTATGACTGGCTGGGTTTGACCTTCCGACTCTGAGCACAGCTACTTCTCCGTTGGCCCTGAAGGTAGTTGTCCCAGTACTTGTCTCTACCATCTGCTTCCAACGCTGCTGGTCTGTGTGTGTGTGCTTTTCTTAACATTCTTTTTCCGCAGGTGGGAGAGTCATGGCTTCCTGCAGACAGTCTGACGTGTGTGCCGGCGACCACAACAGTGATGGAGCGCAGTGAGGGGCGCAGCCGCTGTGCGTACGACAGCCGCCTTGGCTACCGCGCTATCGGTGTGGGCTACAACCTCGACGACAAGTCTGATGAGCGCATGCGCGAGATCGCCACCATCCTTGCCGACTACGACAAGGTCAGCATCCCATCCATCAGTTTAGCCTGTCTGCTTGAAACAACGTAGCATGTGTCCTCATGTTTGGAGCAATTTGCATTACCGAATCTGTGATGTGTTTCTGCTTCCATGGATGCAGCTGTACAGTGGGGAGGCGTGTCTGAATGATCTGCAGATCAACACGCTGCTGGCGCTCGATGCCCGACGCTTCCTGCTGCGTGCGGGGGAGAGTGTGAAGGCCCTCGACAACTTCTGCTGCAATGTCCAGGCTGTGTTTGCAGATATTGCCTTCACCCACAGTGAGTTTGAGATTGGTGAATTTTATATTGTCTTTGTGCATGTCTGATAGTTCGCAGCACATATTGGATCCTGGCGTCCTTTTCAACGTTTTTGTCATGCAAATCCCTGTTCGTCTCCACAGGCAAGAGTCGTCTGGGAGCTCAGTTTGACCCCACCATTCAGAAGGCATCTTCATTTCAGTGGAGGGAGGCGGCAGAGGAGCTGAGGCAGTCAAAGTGGTGCCGCAAGAACAAGGATGCCTGCACCGTGGATACCCAGCAGCTGGAGGAGGGGTGTTCCTCTGTGGGTGATAACGCAGTGTCTGCTTTTCTTGATAGGCTTCCGTGGGTTGATGGCAGCTTAGGTTGTATTGTGGGGATTGTTTTTGTACGGTAACCACTTTTGTTCAGTGTTCTGGTAAACCTTTTGTGTGCATACAGCTTTGGAGGAACCTTGGGCTAAGAGTCTGGATACAGATCAGCTGAAAAGAAAGCTGACAAATCGATCAGCATAGGATATATGAAAGTGCAACGTAACGCTTTGGGAGACGTAAGCACCATCTGCCACCCATCTGTTTTCCCGTGACAATTGGTTTGAAAGATCCCAACCCCGGGAAATGTATCCCGCCCAGCGTAGTTTTCCCAGTCTTGAGAATACCGTGATTCGGCTCGGCCCTGGGAGTGTCTTTCCTTGGGACTGGTTCACCTTGGGATTTGTGTTTGGTAATCAAGGCGCACGGCCTAGCGCTTTCTCCAGCTGCCTCTTTCGCTTACTCGTGGCTGAATCGCTGCGGCAACCTGGAAGGGTAGCAATGACTATGGACCTGAGAAAGTAACTCGCCTCGCGAGAAGCTTACAAGCGAACCGTTGCTGATTGTCTTGCTCGAAGTTAATTCCTGCTTAGCCCGCCACCTCAGCGTTATGTCACGTCGTCAACTTCGCATCCCGAGCTATGATGGTACAATGTCCCAGGACATGGTCCCCTTTCAACCCGGTCCAGTCGGAATGGCTTCGCAGCAGAACCCGTCAATTCATCACGCGCGTCCATCACCCTCTCGACCGTGCAACGTCTCCTCGCACCCCCTTCCTTGCCACGACGCGTCTGCGATCGCCGTCCCGCAACGCTATCAATCCGGCGTCGCGCCTTCTCAGCCAAATTCACATGTGGACCAACCACGTTCGTCACTGACACCACTGAAGCTTTCCCCTCAGCCTCAACCTCTCCCTTACCATCATGACACTGGGACCGTCGTTCCTCTGCAACCCAAACAAGAACCCTTTTCACCGCAACGACTACCTCCGCACCCGGATCAGTCACCCTCACCCGCACGGCAAAAGCTCTCCGCTCAACCTCTCCCGTGCCATCATGATTCTTACGGTAATCTTTTGCAAAAGGCGCCTGCGACCATCGCTTATCTGCAACCCAAACAAGAAGCCGCGTCTCCACAACAGCAGCATCCCCATTCCAACCCACCATCACCTTGTCAACCACAGAATCGTCCAAGCCAACCTCCCCTCCGCCTGGAACGACCAACTTTGGATTATCAGCTCAAATTTCAAATAGACGAATCATCTGTAACTGATGGGTTGCCGTTTCGCCCAATTTCGCTACACTCTGTTGTTCCCAGCTACGTGTCCCTCGGGTGTCCCGTGTTGGACCATTTTCTCAGAGGCGGCCTGCGAGCCTGCCAGGTGACGGAGCTCGTGGGAGAGGCGGCGAGTGGCAAAACCCAGCTATGCTTGCAGCTGGCTCTGGCAGTGCAAGCACCTGTGTCAACACCCTCTCAGGCACCCGCCCAACCGTTGCTCGCATCCTCTGGTTCTCCTAACGCATCACGAGGTGCAGCACTGTACATATACACTGATGGTCGCTTCCCCACCAAACGACTCTTCCAGCTCGCCAACAGCAGCCGCTTCCAAAACCTGCTTGAATCAAATTCCCCTGGTGCTGTGAACAGCAACGGCGTGCAGACATGTGATACCATCAGGAGCACCGGTGACTATAAACCTGCGATCAACATCAACCAGGGAAGTGATCGTGGCCATCCATGTGACCACGTGTTCATTAAGGAGATCCCAACCGTCCAGGAGCTGACCCAGTGTTTGGAAGGAGAGCTGCATGTGGAGCTCGTCCGTGCCAGAGCCCATCCCATCCGCCTTCTCATCATTGACTCCATCGCCTCGCTGTTCCGTTCGGAGTTCGACAACTCACGCGACGACATGTGTCAGCGCACCACCATGCTCTTCCGCATCGCATCTGCTCTCAAGCATCTTGCAGATCGGTAGAAAATCGCCGTGGTGGTGACCAACCAGGTCACAGCTTCCGTCGACAACCCACTTCCCAGTGTCAGTCCAGCAGCAGCAGCAGCAGCAGCAGAAGAAGAAGATGGTGAATCAAGATCAGAGGCATCGCCAGCATCAGCAGCTGTGGCGTATTCTGGCCCACACCCTGACATCCTTTCTGACTCTGAAAATTCACAAATTCTCTGGTCATCAGGCCAGCGTGTCGTACCAGCCCTGGGCCTCGCCTGGTCCCACTGCATCAACACACGCCTCCTCCTCTCCAGGCGAACTCCCGCCACCTTCCTGTCCTACTCCTCGTTCCAGACACCCAGGCTCGGACAGCAGGCTTGGGAGAGTTTTAAATATGTAGTGCTGGCAGGCACCAATGCTGGGGGAAGGAAAGTGGAGCGAAAGCTTGTGTTGGTGTTTTCACCATACCTGCCTACAGGCTGGGTGGATTTCACTCTCGGATTGAATGGAATTGTTGGGGCAGCCGCCATGGGAGGGCAGAATGGGGTGGGTGGCGGCTTGACCTTGGTACCTGCAACAAGCTATTGTAGTGATGTGGTGATGAAGCCAGGTAATTTGGACAGGGGGAGAGTCGATGAGCACGGATGGCAGGATGCAGGAAAGGATACCATGATGGTCGAAGTGGTGGAGAATTCATGTCGAGTAATAGTTCCTGTTCGGATTTGAATGTTGTCTTATGATTTGTTCAGCTTTGCAATTATATGATGTAAAATGTACTGAAATTTGAAGGATGAGAGCATGCATGAGATAGTCTGCTAAAACTCATTCAGTTCATAGTCTTGACTACGGTATATGTAAGGAATTTTCTCGACATTCCTTACCGCGACCATCAACATCGCGTACAGCAACAGCCGTTGTTCGCCCGTTACTGCTAACCAGGCCCCACGATATCAGGGCAAAACATCCTGATTACCCTGAATTCAGGATGCATATTTGAATTTGCCCTGTAATTTCAGAATAGTGCCACTTTTAACCCTGAGCTCTCAGGATGTTATTATATGAAATGACCTGTAAAATCAGGATGGCTGTGGTGTTCTTCCCTGTAGCGTCAGGATGAATGTCGAGGCTTGCCCTGATGCGTTTTTTTTTTTTTTTTTGGGGGGGGGGGGGGGGGGGGGGGGGGTGTTGGAAACAACTGATTTAAGCGCCTCTGTCGTGTCGAAACACCAAGACAGAAGCGAAGCAGATCGTATCGAAACATCGGTGAGTCAACCCTCGGAGGTTGAACAACTGTTGGAGGTTACGCGAAAGTCAAAGGTCAGCGACCTTTGACCTGACAAATGCAGCGCGACAGCAAGGACAAACAACCGTCTCGATACTGAGCAGTTGCCCGAGTCGACACTGTATCGAACCGCAACAGCAACAGTAAAACAGTTATCAACTGTATCTCTTCATATTCCTTTGTATTCTTATAAAAGCTTGTATCTCTTTTGTTTAATCAACTTACTTTGCCCTCACATACAAGCGCAAGGTGGTTCACAATCCTTAATTAAACGCTTCCGCTACTACATCATCCTACTCTTGAATTCTATCCTGCAAAGATCCTAAGGGCCTTTTCAGCCCAACAGGGGGGAGGGGGGGTTTACCGTTTCCCGGGAATTTGTTCCCCGGAAAATTTCCCCCCGCGGATTGCTTTCCCTGTGCGGATAGCTTTCCGCCTTCACGACCCCCTTGCACTTCCGACCCTGCACAACGCACGAACCAAACGCATCAGATGGGGGAAACAGGGAACACTCCCATCTCGTCGTTCGTGTGCCATGCTGCTCTGCTCTGCTCAGCATAGTCTGGTCTGGTCTGTGCTGAAATCTGAACCCTGAACACAGGTTTTTTTGCCCTGACAGGTCAGGATTAATGTCTGTAGAAGCCCGGAACATACAGGAAGGCTTTGAAAATTTGCCCTGACAAATCACGGCATTTTTTAAGATTTTAGAAAAGTGCCCTGAGGCCTTAGGGTGCCCCAATTCCTAGCACGGGCCCTGCTGCTAACGGGGCTTCGCCAATTTCGCGCGCACTGATTTACCAAACCATTCACCACTGGCCTGGCCGAGTCGGCCTACGCTTCGGGACTAGCCCGAACCTTAATGCCAACTTAGCACTAGCTAGCTCGCACGCACCGCATAACCGTTGCATGTTTTCTCACATAAGTATGTGCTCATGCCTTCGCTCATACTTTGTACTTTTGACCCACATAGTGCAATCCTCGCTACCTCGTTCCATTGCACCCCTAACACTTGGTTATCAGAGCCACTTTCCTTTCGGACCGCGCATCTCCGCACCCCAAGAAATCAACTTTTGATTTTTGCTCGAAGGGACTCACGCCCCTTAGCCCCTAGGAGCCGCTGTCCTCGCGTTCTCTCGTAAACGCGTGCAGCCACGACTGCGCCTAGAACTAAGCTGAGCTGATGCCCTTCGACATGGCCGAACACATCGACGTCACCATGCTCACGCAGGACCATCTGAACGAACTGCTGCAGCAACTTCGCGAAAGCTCTGAATAAATCGCGGCGCTGACGGCAGAACGCACGTCCCTGCAGAATGACATCGCACGAGCACAGCAAGCACATTCGTAAGCACCTGGCACTCCGGGACAACCTGCACCACAGACATCGCAGCACGGAAGTGTGGGGCAACCCGCGAGCGTGGCCAGTGATGGCGTCGTCCGCAACGACGGAGACGATGACCACGGCACGACACACCATGAAGTGACGAATGCGGCCAGAAGTCAACCCCGCGTCACGATTTATGTGCCGGCCGGCGAATCAACACTGCAGTCGCCGATGCCGCTAAAGCCGCAGCGTCCGCCATGCTTCGACCCGAGTCAACGGGGTGGTCCTACCGTTCAGGCGTGGTTATTCACCATGAACGTCTTCTTCGACGCAAACTACGTCTCGGAGGATACAGCGAATATTCGTTACGCCGTGTCGTTGTTGCAGGGACCCGCCATGGATTGGTGGCACGTCATCGTCATGAAGCCGATGGACTACGCGACTCTACCGACACGGGAAGGACAAACTGGACCTTGAGCGCCGACGTATTTCGTGGAGGCACCCCAATATCGCACGTGGGATGCGTGGTGCGCATGTCTGCGCGCTCGTTCCGAGCTGATTGCGGCTTCGATCGAGGCGCGTCAGAGGCTCCGCACTTGGCGCCAGCTCGGTTCCGTCCAGGGCTACACCAGCGGGTTTCTGGCGCAGTGTGAGCAGGAGGGTTATATGCACGAAGGCGAACGCATCGACCGCTACATCGGCGGCCTGAAACACGAAATCGCCCAGGAAATCCAGCTCCGCGGCGTCACCGACTTTCAGGAGATTCTCGCTATGGCGGAGAAACTCCATTTCTTCCGTCGACCGAGACCGGGGTCCTACGGAAGCAACAGCAACTGGGGACATCGATCTCGTGGGACGAACGAGCACGCCACGATACGTGCCGTCGCCGCGAATGCCGCTGCCGCACCGTTTAAAGGGCGGTGCTTTGTGTGCAATCGGCCGGGACACCGCAAAAGCGAATGCCCGGAAAATGCTAAGGGAAAGGGGGAAGCTGAGCAGCAGAAACAGACCAAGCAGCAGGGAAACGCTGGGAGTCAGTAGCAGACGGGCCCTCTACTTACAGGTCACACCGCTCGCCCGACCCAACCGACCCTCATCGAGTGATTGTGCCGGTTCACGCAATCGACCACACCCAGCCGAATAAGGAGGGTACCGCGGTAGATAGCCCCATACTGCTTAGTGGGAAAATCGGGACAGATTTAGTTTAAGTATTCGTAGACGAAGGAGCCAACCACAGCCTCATCAACACTGCCATAGCACGGAAAATTAAATTGCCACTGGACAGGTGCTTACCTAAGATTGACGCAAGACTGGTTGACGGCACGCCACTGGCGATACGGGAACGTGTAGACCGAGTTCGGATTCGATGCAGGGGTAACTTCACGTTTAGCCAAGAAATGCTCGCAACAACCCTCGACGGAACCGACATTTTACTCGGCCGTGATTGGCTGCGAATCGACTGGACGACGGGTGACTGCACCGTGCGAGTGATCGGTAACAACATCGCCTTACCTCACCGGGGCTCGCCCGAGTCTTCGTTGGTGCGTGTCAACGCAATCACGATGAAATGCACCATAGCGGCAGGAGCTGACGTGTACGCGGTCTACATTCAAGAAGCCGAGGCAGCAGACAAAGGGGGGGATTTACAGAAATTGCTCGCTGACGTACCGGATGGCTTGGCAGTGCTACTGAAGCAGTACAGTGAGATTTTTCTGGACGATCAGCTGACAGGATTGCCACCTCAGCGGCCGCACGACCACAAGATAGAATTAGAACCGGGGGCACAACCGACAGCACAGCGATAGTTCCGACTGACCCAACTTGAACTGGACGAACTACGGAAGCAGCGGATTACCTTCTCGAAACGGAGTTTATTCGCCCGAGTTCGTCACTGTTCGCAGCACCGATACTGTTCATACCGAAGAAAGACGGGGGATTTTGCATGTGCATCGATTATCGCGCACTGAACTGGGTAACCATCAAGTCCCGTTACCCCATCCCGCGAGCCGACGAACTGATCGACCAACTGCGCACAGCCCGGGTTTTCTCGAAAATTGACCTTTGAGGAGACTGCCACCAAATCCGCGTCAACCCACCCGTCTGCTCGAAAATCGCCTTCCGAACACGCTACGGATCATTCGAATACACGGTAATGCCTTTCGGACTAACCAACGCCCCCGCCACATTTCAAAGACCATGAACGAAGCCTTCCGCCCCCTCTATGATAAATGCATCATCGTGTACTTAAACGACATACTGATCTACAGCACAGACCGAGCACAGAACCTACAGGACATAGAAGCTGTTTTCAAAATACTGAGTGAGAACCGCCTACTGAGGAAAGCCTCTAAGTGTGAGTTTTTACAGGACAAACTAGAGTTTTTAGGGCACGTTATTTCAGCTGACGGAGTGGAAATAGACCCGAAA